AGCGTATCTCACCGTCCTCGTCCCACGTGGCAAAGTTGTGACGCACCAAAGGGGTTTCAGCGTTGAGCCTCCTCTCGATGCTTTGGTCCCGCTCAAGTCGTGCCTGCTCAACCCAGTTAGCTCTGATCCTGTCCCACTCCTCCCCCTCGCGTAGCGACTTGGCGAGAGTTTCGGGTGACAGAGGTGGGGTTGGTTCATTCATGCGGCGTCGATTCGCGGGAAGCGGTGGCGGCGGTTGCTGTGGCGTCGCTGTCGTCGTCATTGTCCAGCCTGTTCGTTTCCCCTAAGTCCGTCTTCCGCATTCTCCGCTTTCGTCGATCCCCGCTTCGTCCACATCGCCCACCTCCGTCGCCACCTCCTCTTCCTCCATCTCCGTAGCCACCTCTCCTTCCGTTTCACCCTCTTCATCCGCCATCACCTCATTCTCATCAATCACCTCTCCATCGGATCCGCTGCAGTCCTCCAAGACCGACTCGTCCTCGCTTTCAATTTTGATGACCTCCGTTTTCGCGGCCGCCTCCGATTCCATCTCCGAGTCCTCCGAGTCCTCGTCATCCGCCTTATCACCAGCGTCTTCCTCCCCCGATTCCCGGTCCCTGTTCGCCCTGGCCAGTTACCTCTTCCTCCTGTCCCTCCTCGACCTCGAGCCCGGCGAAGTGATTCTGTGATGCGATCCTGTTAACAACCAGCACAGGAATGGGGGCCTCGGCCTCCGCGATGTTGGTGTGTGGGTGATGGTGTTTTGTTGCTGTTGATGATGCCGTTGTGAGCCTCCTTCCGCTTTCCTCTCCTGATCCAGTCCGCAGGTTCCACGTGACCCACAAAGTGGCACCTACCGCAAGCCGCCTCCTTCTCATAGTCATGGCGAAGGGCGGTAACCGGGATGCCTCGAGTGGGAAGGTCGATCCTCGAAGGTAGAATCTCCTTCAAGGTCGTGTTGGGGCGTTGAAATAGGGAGTCGTCATCGAAGTGTAGGAAAGCCGAGTAGTCTCCGGCAACGTGGGCGAAGGCCGAGGCGTTGTCCACGCTGATAACGCGCAGAACCTGCACAAGTTGGCATGAATGTCCCTTGCCTGACAGTCTTGCACAAGTGATTGGAACGATTGATGATGGCATCCATGGAGGGCACTCCTTGAACACCGACGTTGATTCGAAGCTCGACCATGTTATGGTGGAACCTGTGAGACTTCGCGAAGCGGGCCTTCGCCGATCGCCAAGTGAGAGCGGGGGGCGTCGTGAGCGCCGCGTCACGTGCCTCGCCGGTGACGAACCCAACCGTAACGCGATGGTGAGCCGCCCCATTACGCAGGATTGATGAATGTTGTACGCCTAAGATCTGTGGTTGATAAGCCGCAAGATGGTCCGGCAGAGGAACTCCAGGCTCAAAGCAGATAGGAGAGATGGGCGATAGCAGCCTCGTGACGCAGGCCACGAGATCGATCTTGTCGGCATGAGTCGCTCGCGAGGCGCTCTGGTGAGACAGAGTCACTTCAAGGGCGTAATCGAAGATGTTCTCGACGGACCGGTTCGCGTTCAAGGCCGAAAATTTCAGCGATGTGACGGTGGCGACGGGGTAGAGTTCGGCGAAGTAGATGGCCTGGACCCAGCGATCCATGCGGTTTCCGGGTACAGCACCCATGGCTTGTAGGAGGCTGCCCAGAGCCTTGGCACGCTGTTGTTGTTGTTTCTGTTGTTCAGGTGTTTGAGTCGCCATCTGACTCGCAGCGGCAGCATAGTTGGGTGCGGCGGTGGCGGGGCCCGTGACTTGCGTCTTCTTCGAGCTTATCGGGATCCGGTCGCGGGGGGCTGGACGCTGGTGGCGGATACCGGTGGTGGCGGTGCCGGCAGTGGGGACCCAGGGTCTCCGGTAGACATCTTGTCGGTGTATCACTTGTTAACTCGAGTATCGAAGGCTGCAGTAGGGCGATTGTGAAGTGAAGTGAAGTGAAGTGAAGTGGAGTGAAGTGAAGTGAAGTGAAGTGAAGTGAAGTGAAGTGAGTTTTTTTTGTTTTTTTTTAGAAAACGTTCATCATATTGCCCCCAATTCCTGTTCCCCCTGTTTCGGCCTACGGAAAAACTAGATGGAAGACTACGATGATAACACAAACCGCCCGCAAAAGTGCGAGAAACGAGCCAAGTCCACCAATCCGAGATTCGGATTCAAATGCCCTAGCCAAGCGGTTGCTCCCCCCAGGAGACGAATGAGAGAGAGAAAGAGAGATGAAGAGAAGAGAAAGAGAAAGAAAAGAAATGTACTAACGACAGAAGGCCCACCCCACAGCCACTTCCCACTCGGTCGAGACGAAGACAAGAGCACGACTGCGCAACCACCACGACCCTCGACGCTCCAAGTCTCTGCTCAGTCACAACAAGACGCGGTGAAGGTCCCTCAAAACCTCCCCTCGGCAGTCCCTGGCCCCTCAAAGCCGACTTTCTGCCTGTGTCCGCTGATCCCTCCCTTGACTCAGAACCCCGAAGCCGAAGAGCGCGAGCCACCGAGTCGACGCCAAATCGCGAGATGGTCCATGATCCGCAACGGTGAACCTGTAACAAAAGAAAGAGGAAAGCGAGCTATTTAGTGTACAGTAGGAGAAAATGATGTCACGAGAATTTGGTGTGTGTGGTGGTGGGGGAAAGTCGAACCCAGCCTCTACTGCCTTCTCCTCCCCCAAGCTCCTCCCGCCCTCAGCTTCAACCTCTCCTCCAAGATTATCCTCCTCCTCCCAACACCCTCCATCCTCGTCCCCACTTCTGCATCCCCCACCTCCCGCTGCTGATCATCTCCAAGACCAGCCCGGTGAATATTTCGATCGTCCTCCCCGCTCCTTCTTGATCGCGCAGACTGGCCTTGAGCTTCGGAAGTCCGAACATGCGTTGAACGGCCGTGTAATGCGTGTTGTCGATCGTGTCGAGCCCCAGTGCGTCGCAGAGCACGCCCCTTGCCGCGATCCAAACGTTCCTAGAGTCAACGCAGTCGAAGAAGTAGTGCTCCCGATCGTCCTTGGGCGCTCCACAGACGAGGCACGCGGGCGAGTCGTCGTGCTTTTGATGAAACTGCAGACTCCGAGTCGGGGTGAAGTTCCTGACGAGCTTGAACCACACCTCGCGTTCCCTCGCCGTCAATGCCTTCGAGTTGACCCCCTTCCAGAATCCCTTGAGATCGTCGGGCTGCAGCGAGTCCCTGAAACCGATCGTGTCGGTGAAGGCCTTTGCATTCAAGACTCGGCGGACGCGACGGATGGTGTATGGCCGATCCATGCTGAGCAAGTTGTATTGTGTTGATTGGTCTGGGAGAGCCGGTCTCGGAAGGCGCTGCGGCGGGTCGATCGGATGGGCAGGATCGACTCGAGCGGCGTGGTGGGGCGGACTCGGGGAGGCCCGTTGATTCGTACTGCCGCCACCGGTTGAGCTATTGGTGTGAACCTCAATCGATTGATCGCATGTCGGTACCATGCCACGATGTGCTCTCGTTGTGGGCGGCCCCGTTGATCGTATTCGCTGTTGCTGACGACCACATCCGTCGGCGGCGTCCAGAGATGAAAGCCCCCGCCCGGGTACAGCTCGCGTCGAAACAGGTCCGCTACCTTGGCGTAAATGGCAAACGCAGCATAGTCGGCGTCGTAGGGTGGTCGCGACACAGCTGGTGCTCCCGGTAGGTAGTGAAGGGTGTGCAACTTGATCGGAAGAGCGAGAAGGTTCGCGAGCGTCAACGTCCTCGGCTTGACTTGCGCATTGTGCGTCGATGGTACCTTCAGCACGGCCTGCCATCTTGGGTGTAGATCGGTTCGGATCGGAGTGTAGTCGCAAGGCCACGCATCGGTTGCCAAGTCAAAGTCGGGGCGGGATGGGCTCGTACAATCGCCGCGCGCGCAAGTCCCTGCCAGATCGCATCCGAACCGCCAAGAAGCACGTCCCAGACGCGTGCCGCAACCGAGTCGACGACGTCCTGCATCCGCATGACCCCAAGACCCCCCTTGAACCTCGGTGTGAAGACGACGTCCTTGCCATAGCACGACCTCCTCTTGCCGCCGCGGACAAAGTCGGCGAGAATGCGATCAAGCTCCTTGACGACCTCGAGCGGTGGGATGTCGGCGGAGAGGATGTGCAGAATCTTGGGAATGGCGTATCGGTTGACGTAGAACGCTCGGGTGTGGTGTGTGAGCCCTCGGTCCCGTGCCGAATCGAGCACCGCTTCGAGCCGTGCGACGAGATTCACGTTGGCGAGTTCGGTGTTGCCGGTGGGGTCGAAAGATAGGCCGATCCACTCGAGCGACTCGCCCTCGGCCTTGACGACGAGCGGACGATCGCCAGCCTCCCAGCGACACCCGATGGGTAGTACGACGGTCTTGTCGGTGTTGAGCCGGCCATTGGTTGCGAGCCTCCAGTCGAGCGCCAGGTCGTCGAGCAAGTTGAGTGACTCCGAGCCCGCGACAGCGACGACGACGTCATCGGCAAACGCAAGGGATGTAATGGCGCGGCTCTGTGGGTAGGGGTGAATGGTAGGAAGCGAGAGGTTCAGCGCGATGCCTCGACGGTGCAGAGCATCCAGGAACGGCTGGAACACGACATCCCAGACCGACGACGACGCCGGGTCCCCTTGGCCGAGCCCACACGTCAGCCGCACCGGCGGAGTCAAGAAGCCGTTGATGATATATCGCGCCGTGGTTGAGTCACCCGAGTAGAGCATCCTCAGAACGCGTTGGAAGGCGGCAGGAGCGCCGAGAGCGTCGAAGATGGCGAAGATCCATTCGTGCTCGACGAGGTCGTAAGCCGACGATTGGTCAAGAGACAAGAGCGCCGCGTCAGGGAACTCGGTGCCGCGCGCGCCCAGCTCCTCGATCAAGAGTCGCAGGTGGAATGACGCGTCCGCCGATCGGCGGCCCTTGACGAAGCCGTGCTGTTGCGGTGGGAGCAGGTCCGGCAGCACGTGGTTGAGTCGCGCAACGTAGACCTTGGTGAAGAGCTTGTAGTCGCACTCGCGCAAGGTGATGGGCCGGTACGACGAGAGCTCGGCGCGATCGGCCCCGATCTTGTGGTGCTTGAAGAGCAGGCGAGCGAGTCCTTGCCCCTGCTTCGGTGAAAGCGAGCCGCGCTCGGTCATCGCGTTGAAGGCCCTGCTCAGCGCCTTGGCCCACGCCCGCGGCGCTGTGTGATAGAGCTCGTAGGGCACGCCAGATGGACCCGGCGATCGACCGGGGTGTGTTGTTGCGATTGCGGCTACGACCTCGTCCTCGGTGATGGGTTGCTGCAGCAGCTCGATGTGCGCTTCCGAGAGTCGTCGCAGAAAGAGCGGGTCCGAGCTCGGGTCATCGCAAGTGCGCGCCGACCTGATCGGCGCCAAGAAATCGTCCCTAAGTCGCTCGACGTGGTCCCGATCGCGCGGCTCGAGATCGTAGAGGCGCTGAAAGTGCGCCTGTGTGTGGTCAAGCGCGACGTCAATGTCATGTGTCAGCTCTCCGTTGGGCAATCGCAGTGCTGTGATCTTGGAATCCGAACTCCGTGCCGCGAGCTTGGCGTGGACCGGCCGCGACAGTCGTTCCTCGGTAGCGATTTCGGGTACGTGGGCTCGGATCCGAAGTTGGCGCGCGCGCTCGTTGACCGCTCGCCTAAGTTCCTCCGTCGTCCGCGTCCATTCGGCCGTCTCCTCGTCCCCCATCACCGGCAACGCCTCCAGATCCTGCACCCTTCCCACCAAGACCGCCATCCGCTCCACCCGCTCCCGATGCTCCCTCCTCGCCAGCTCCCGACCCTCCTTCGCGCAGTTCCCCAGCACCACCTCGAGCTCCCCCACCGGTTCCTCCCCACTCGCTCCTTCCAACCATCCTTCCAACATCCCCTGGAACTCCGCCGTCTTGAAGGTCGCCGCGTTGATACGATGTAATTGGTTTGATGTCGTTGGTAAACTATTGTTGGGTTGAGCCGCGTCTCCTCGCTCATCCGAGAGAACTAGGACGATCGAGACCGGTCGGTGATCCGAAAGGTCCTTGGGGTGGTCGTAGATCGTCGAGGCTTGGACGAGTCGCTTTTGGTGGGTGCGCTGCAGAAGGAAGTAGTCAAGTCGTGAAAAGGACTTTGGTCGCTTGCGGACGATGTTGGGTCGAGTGAAAGATGGTGTGAGCGGGTGTTTGAATCGTATGCAGTCGGTGTAGGGCGAGTCGAGCTTGCCGATCAGGATCGGCCAGTGATGGCCGTGCCGACCTTGGTTCCGCCGATCGATCGCCGGCAGCGGGCAGTCGTTGAGATCGCCGCCGAGGAGTCGAAGGTGGGTGCTCTGCGTCCTGTGGAAATGTAGTTTGTCAAAGAATGTGAGTCGTTGTTTTGTATCGACTGGTGCGTAAATGTTGTTGATCTCGAGTATCCGGATGTCGCCTCGAAGTCGAAAGGAGGTGACCAGGATTCGTCCGTCGAGTGCCGAGTGGGTGCGCAAAATCTCGGCGTCGATCAGGGGCGAGTCGGCGGGGATCAGAGTCAGACAGTGTTTGCTGATGAAGACCTTGCCCTCGTACTCGTCCTTGATACATTGCCAGAGTTCCGGTTTGATGAAGTGTTCTTGTAGTAGAATGGCGGATGCTTTGAATGTTGATAAATAGGTGTAAATGTTGCGTCGCTTTTCCGGGATCCCCATGCACCTCCTCACGTTCCAGCTGGTGATGGTGTGCTTGATCATTATTGGATAGACGATGTAGACGTGCTCTTGGCGGTAGTGTCGTCCTCAAAGAGTGGGAATTCGGGGAGAATGTCATCCTCGGGCTCGTGGTCGGACCAGCGCTTCTCCTCCTCCACCCCTTTACCCTTCTCCGCTTTCGCCTTGGCCCCCTCGACCTGCATCGCCGCCGCCGCCGACATCGACCTCGTCACCCTCTTCCCCTGACCCGCTACCTCCTTTCCTGCTCGACCTTTGACCCTGTTCAGAACGCGCTTGATATCGACCGGGTCGTCGCTCGGATCGCTGAGATCGGCCACCGTTTGCGACCTCTTCATCTTCTTGTTCGACCCGGAGCCGGTGCCACGAATGTTGATGAATCGCAGTTGTCCATCTTCCTGACCCCACTCTGCAAATTGGTGGCGAACGAGCGGTTCCTCCGCGTCGAGTTGGGCGTTGATGATCGCCTCCTTTTCTGCTTGGACACGTGCAGCAGCTTCGGCGTTAGCTCGGTCCCACTCCGCACCCTCGCGCAGCGACTTTGCCAACGTCTCAGGAGATAGTGGAGGCCACGAGGGACTCCGAGGAGTCGACTCGCGGGAAACCGTGGTGATCGTCGTTTGGTCGTCGTCGATGATCATGATGCTGTCGTCCTGTACCCCCTGTTCCTGCTCGACCTCTTCTTCCACCTCCGTCTCCGTCCCTTCGTCCTCCTCCTCTGCTCCATCTTTCATCACGTCATCCCCATCGTTTCCTTCGTCCTCCCTTTGTTCGCTTCCCTCCGAGCTGTCGTCCTGTTCGTCCTCGTCGTCGTCCTTGTCGTCGTCCTTGTCGTCGCCTCCCGCCTTGTCGATGCCCGCTCCGGCGTTCCCATCCGAGTCCGAATCCTCGTCGTCCGCCTTGGCGCCCGTATCCTCTTCTCCTTCTTCGACCTGCTCCTTTTCCTCGCCCTCCTTTCCTGCATCCTCCTCCTCGACGTCATCCTCCTGTCCTCCTTCGACCTCGAGCCCCGCAAATCGGTTCCGCGATTCGAGTTGGTCGGTTCCGAGGGCGCGGCTAGGGGCCACAACCTCGGAAGCGTCGTTGTCGGTGTTGTTGGTGTTGGTGGTGTCGTTGTTGTTGTTGTTGGTGTTGGTTGGGTTGTTGTGGTACTTGTTGTGCCTTCCGGTGTTGTTGTTCGCTTCCTTCTGCCTCCTCTCCTGTTCCAGCGCGCAGGTCTCCACATGCCCCACAAAGTGGCACCGAGCACAGGCCGCTTCTCGTTCGTAGTCGTGACGAACCGCCGTATGCATGTTGCCTCTAGTGGCTAGAGAGACCTTCGACGGTAGGAGCTCCTTCAGCGTGTTGTTAGGGGCTTTGAAAAGGGCGTCGTCGTCGAAGCGGATAAAGGCCGAAAACTCGCCGGCCAAGTGCGCATAGGCCGAGTCGTTATCGACGTGGATCACGCGCAAGACTTGTACCAGCTCGCAACGGTGTCCCTTGGCTGTGATTTTGGTGACAATTGATTTAAAAGAGTCAACAATGGCATCCCTGGATGGGACCGCTGCGACACCGACGTTGATACGCCAGCTCGACCATGTTGTGGTAGAAGTGGTGGGCCTTTGCGAAGTGAGCCTTTGCAGAGTGCCAAGTAAGCGCCAGTGGGGCCGTAAGCGCCGAGTCACGTGCCTTCGCCGAAACGAATCCCACGGAGATACGGTGGTTGACCACACCGGCCCTGACGAAAGACGAGTGTTGGATACCCTAATCTGGGGCGCAAACGCCGCAAGGTGCTCGGGAAGGGTGACCTCGGCGTCGAAGCACAGGGGCGATTGCGGGGAGAGCAGTCTCGTGACGCAACCGAGCAGATCGGCCTTGTCCGCGGGAGAGGCCTTCGAGGCGCCTTGGACGGTCAAAGTGACGTCGAGAGCAAAGTCGAAGATGTTTCGAATGGATCGATTGGCGTTGAGAGCCGAATACTTGAGCGATGTAGCGGTAGCGACAGGGTACTCGTCGGTGGCGAAGGTGGCTTGCAACCACCGGTCGGTGCGATTGCCCGGTACAGCACCCATGACTTCGAACATTTGGGTCAAAGCCTTGGCACGGTGTTGTTGTTGGGTCTGCTGCTCGGGAGTCTGCTTGGTCTTTTGAATCGCGGCGGTGGCGTAGGTCGCGGCGGCGATAGGGACTTGCGTCTCCTTTGTCCCAATCGGGACGCTCGTCGCCGCGGACGCCGATGGTGGGGGTGGGCCGGTCTCGCCGGTCTCCATGCTAATGTAGGCTGATGTATCACTTGTAGCTTCGAAGGTGGTGGTGGCGCGATTTCGAAAGTGAAAGTGAAAGTGAAAGTGAAAGTGAGGTTTGGCTTGACGTGAATTCGGGAATGATTGGTCAAAAGACTGGACTCCTAACATGCGTGGACTCCGTAGCTCAGTTGGTTTAGAGCGTCCGACTGTTATTTCTTCGTCAAGTGATCGGGAGGTCGACAGTTCAAACCTGTCCGGAGTCGCTCACCGACCCGGTAGACTCTCTTTTGTGCCCGGAATTTCAGAAACTCTTCAACCCCTATGATGTCTACACATGTGTAAGTAAGTCATTTTTCTTTTATTTGGTGCATCCATTACGTCTATTTTTTTCAATGTGCAAAGTCATTCAAAACGTTAGCCCGGAGCTTCCCAGAGCTGTCGGAGATGAACAGGGAGTTTTTGCTTCTTTGTCCTGAATAGGCAATTCAGGCAGCTGGCAACTACAGGTACAATACCTCAGAATACTTTATGATCTCTCATAACCACAGAGACAGAGATATGTGTCGCTTTCTGGCCGGAGGCCTGTCCTTTAGCCTCCTTAAAGTAGAGTATTCAACAGCAGCTTGGGTGCAAATCCTCACACCTAAGTGACAGCTCTTTTGATAATCCAGATAGATGCTACATGTATGGGTATCTGATTATAACTTCTTCAGGACTGAGGCAGTCGAACATGGTGTAAGGCGCTCCAGCCTCCCAAACTAAACATTATACTTGGGCCCTCTACCTTACATAAAGCCGCGGATGACGATGACTTTCCTGAGTGTCATCCATACCTCCATCCCATAGGACTTCTATCCGCACTCTGTCCTCAGAAGCCATGTGCTCATACCAAGCATCGGCTTGAGCATAGGTGAACATAGCAGAAGTTGATGAGAGAACTTTCTGCGGGTGTTGCAAAGTGGAAATTGGAATGCGTCAGTCACGCAGACAACACGGTAGATGAGCAAAGAAGAAGGAAAAGTGAGTACACACCACACCATCCTGTACAAGAACGACATATGTCAACATGCTTTTCTATTCACAACGGAAGCAAAAAAGACGAGGGGGGGGCTCACAATGTAAAGTCTGCTTTGCAGGTTTCCCTTCGTCTCCTCTTCGCTCGGGTATTGACGGACGGTCCTCATAAGACAAGCGGTACCCTTCGTACCAAGTATGTTCCTGTAAGAAGAAAAAGTCCGGAGTAAGAATCGCGCACACCAGAGGCTGATTGAAATGCCTCGGATCAGTGACGTACCATTCCCTCAGCATATCCTTCTTGAGCTTCTCTTCAAAGATGGTGATGCTGTATCCCAGTACAAGCAGCCATCGCCCATCACCGAAAACGTAGCGCTTGAACATGTTGTCCCCACCAAGGAACGCAGCGGCTTGATTCACGAGGCGGATTTGAGCGAAATCCTCAAGGTACGACCCGTAACCAAAGAGGTGGACCCAGGAGCCACCAAGATAGTGGTGCAGGTTGAGGAACGGAATCCCCGACTGCAGCATCCCAGTTGTGTCACCCGGCACATCAAATTCTAAGTGTTTCATTTGGCCATGCACCAAAAGGTCAGCGAAACATGCGCTTCACTGAGGAAAGGAGAAATTAGATGCCGACGAACGATGTAAACCCTTTCCTCGGTGGTGACAGTTTGCTTGGTCGCACCCTTGGCCAATGCAGCACATCGGGTAAGCATCTCGTCACCTCCAAAGATTTGTCGGAACTGTTTGTAGCATTCATCCCAATTGTTGTTCATCTTGTGGAGAAGGGGGGCCGAAGCAAGCATACCTGCAAGCGGTACGTTGCGAACACGCGTGGTGTGAGTTGCAATCTTTTCAATGCGTTGGCCTTGATGGCGAAGTAAAAGCCAAGCAACTCACCCGCTCCACCGAACGCCATCCGGCCAAACTGCTGCAATTGGTTTACCGACTCTGAGGTCGCACCGACTGCAGAACCATCGAGGCACGAGAGCACCAACATATTCAGTACTTGGCCAAAGGTTGTACTCCTAGGGAAGGGCCAAGTCCTCACCGAACAAAGGGGTAGATGGGTCGTACTTGGCCAACATCCTTCGAAGAGCTCGCATGTCCAACCAAAAGGTATCACTGTGAATTGAAACAGCTCACGTCAGACCTATCTGCACAGGTGCTCTTAAAACACCTCGGCACCTTTGTACTCACTCATCGTTGAAAATGAACCACTTGAATGAGCGTCTGCAGGTGCCGACGGTGCGGATTGTCAGTCAAAGCCGCCGTCCCTCGAGCAGCATCACAGGACTGACCCAAGCTCTACGGCGTATGCAGTGAATTGCGGCACCATGTCCAAGACCCGGACCTCGTACCTCTCGTACTGCTTGTTCGAACCCCACATGGCAGCTTCTGCTCTTGAGCATCCTTTTCAGATCCTCAATGTCGTCCGGGTCCTCTTGGCTACTCAGCAGTATCATGCACGCCGGTCGCAAGGACGATGCAGCACGAGTTGAGTCGGTTGAAGGCGCATCGGGCGCGAGAAGCCACCTCGTCCATAGCTCCGACATCATCATGGCGCGCTTGACCGTGGTCGTCATCCGAAAGCAAATCACCGTCTTCGGGGTACGATACATCGTCATCGAGCCGGATCGTGCGAGGAAATACTCGAATTTTATGACGGGAACGGGTTCGCCATGATCAGAGTGGTGATATGTTGGGATTGTCTGCCAGATCTCGGTGGTAAGCCGCGAGTTCGCAGCCCTCGTCGGCAGTAGTTCCGCCTTGGACCACGAAACGGGTCCTTCCTGCGAAGACGGGACACCCATTCGATCGTGGTCGGTTCAAGAACAAACTGGCGCAGCGTGACAGGCTCGAGCAAGTTGAGTAGCCCCTCGTTGAGTCCCTCGAAAGAGTTGACGGGTCGACGGGGTCGCGGACCTCCGCCGGCACGGTTTTGGACCTCATCGAGACGAGTGCCAACAGCGAGCAGCCGATGACAGCCAACAGCAACACGAGTCTGGAACGAGCAAGCGCAAGCCATGGTTGGACGTGTTGGAGTAGGCGGACGATGTGTTCCCGTTGCGAGACGTGGGTGGGGGCGACGACGAGGATCCGATGTGGGGGGACTTGATCGGCAGATAAGCCGACGTGCGCCAGGACATCGCGAGTCGAGGGAGTTGACAGGCGGGTAGCCTTGTGAGCGTGTCGGCTGATGCGGACGCAAAGATGGAGATGCAGCCCACGGTACTGGAGAGGTGCGTGTAGATCACCGGGCCACGGGACTACGGTACGACGGGCGTGGTGCGCGGAGGGCGATGTCGCTCCAGTCACGAAGGAAGGGAGCAGTTCGCGTGAGGCAGACTGTGAGCAAATACACAAGCGGCAAGGGGATGCCGCTAACCCCGTCAGGCTTCTCATTCACAGTACTCGAGAGAAGGTCACGAGGTGAAGCGACATGGCTGTCGTGGGTCCTACGCACCCGGGCAGACGGCTAACACGCAGGTGAGCCGGCGCAGGTAGTAGACCGGTGCCGGAACAGAAACCAAAGAGTACAACAGTGAACTTCGGTACAACAGGGTATGCACAGCGAACGGAGAGTGACGGAGGCGGAAGGTGACGTCGGTGTGACGAGGGCGTACTTCTTGGACGGTGTTGATTGTTGGGGGTTGGATGTTGGCCGACGACACGGCGGGGCGCGCCAGACGAGCAGAGTCCCGCTGCGACAGAGTGCGACAGGCTGCGGCGCACTTCGTTCCTCTTCGTTCCAAAGATCGACCGACTCCCCGACTCCCTCCGACTTCCGACTCGGAGAGATCTACATTCCGGCGCGCGCGCTTCTCTGTCACTCTGTGTTCCTTTTCTGGGCCGTGCGTCGATCGCCCTCTATCGCCCTGCGCGCTCGGCTTGTGCCCGCCGGCCGCCGACGCCGTGACGTTCTTCAGCTTCACGCACGATTCGTGAGCTGAGCGGTTTCCGTTCAAATCAAGAGGAGTTAGGCCACCGATTCGAACGTCAACGTCTCTCAGCCAAGCCCTACGGCGGGGCTGACAGAGTCAGAATGGACAGCTCGGTCGGCGAAAGCTTACAGAGCTCAATTGAATACGGCAGCCTCGCCTCACTTGGCAGCTCGATCGAGTCATTCGCAATAGTGGAATACAGCAATGCGATGCATTCCGAATAGGTCAACTAAGTCTGCTTTGCGTTCCGACATCACGCAACAAGCTTCTATCACCGCGAACTTCAAACGGTCCTGCCCTTCACCGCCACTTGGCGTTCGTCTGCTCCTGGAACTTGGCACGATGGGGAATCGCTGACGCCTGCACATCAAAGACATCGATCGCTTCCTGTTGAGGCAACATGCGAGATAGCGCGCGAGACCATGAGTTCGGGCTCCTTCGGGCGAGGGAAAGATGCATTCGGCGACTTACCTTCCATAGCTCTTGCGTGAGCTCAAACACGAACTGCGATTTGCTTCCCTCGGCGTCGTTGTTCCCATCGGGCGCTTCGCAGCTGTCTATGATGACGAAGAGAGCAATGAGAGCCTATCAGTGGCCAGATACGAGGCCTAAATACTCAGCGAACTTGCGCGAACGTACAACAGATGATCTCTCCAAAATGCTTGGAATCTTCGTTGATTTCTTCCTCGATGCAGGCCCTTCCATCGCGAACAAGGAACGAAAAGTAAAAGATGTTCTCGACCGATTGTGCGAACGAATGCGGGTTGAGGACGAAGCTGAGATACGGTATCCCTTCTCCGCCGTAAGCGTCCAGGATCCGTGCGATCTGCAAGACAGTGCGGCCCACGATGAGCTCCTCGAAGCGCACCAAGTGAGGAATCGGTCGCTAACCTCGGAGATCATGCGGTCGGTCGCTGTTTGTCCTTTTCGACATCTTCGGCACGCAACTGCAAGACAGTGGCAATCATCGCCGCTTCCAGGACCACATCATCGAAGGCACAGACATGAGCTGCGGTCACTTACTTCCTCGGGTCGAACACGTTGGCTTTCGTCGACCTTTTGCCTTGCGCGCTGTGTTCGAGCCTTTTTTTCCTTGACTTCCAAAGCCAGCGGACCGAGCCTGACGAACGAAATCCAGGCACAATGGCTAGAGATCATACCATGCCTCGGTCCTTGTTGAGGTAGCCTGAACAGGGGGCAAGAGCTCACATGAGATCCATCACGACGGCCCTCCGACTTTCACTCGCCAAAACCCTTCCGACTCGGCCCCACCGCAACGGTCTTCCGGCGCCTTCAGTGGCGCCCTGTCCTCGTCCTGCGTCTGGCTCCTCCCCTTGCCTTGTTCTTCTGATTGAGTGCCACGACGCTGCCTCCCATGAAGTGAGCGAGTTTGAGAAGGAACTGATCGGTATCGAAGGCGTCGGCGTCGAGTTTGAGTTGGCGGGCCTTGAGCGCTCCGGCGTCCGAGGCGGCCATGAGCACACGGGAATCAAGAACGGCTTCGGACGGTGCGGTGACTGTACAAAGATGTGGCCAGTGCAGCAAAAAAAAAAAAATGAACTCAGTCACGGGTGCCGCGCCAAGCCGATTAGGGACGGCAGTGGCCATGAGGAAGCTGACCATTTCTGAAGAGCTTGTTGGCACGTTCGACCTGCTTGCCGAGCGAGTCGACGGTCGTATCGTTGATGTTGTCTCGAGATTCTGTATAAGAGCAGGATATGACGGTGGGTGTTGATCAGCGAATGAATCTAGGCGTGGGTGACGTGGTCGAGGAATGCGATCCGCCCGCGACGCGTGCGCCGACACGTGCGAGGACGCGTCGCGCACAGCAGACATCGCACTCAGCAAAGCGCGCAGGAAGCCGCAAGGGCGGCAGCACGGCCATCGGGGTTTGGGATCCTATCCAATTGGTCACGGCACCGTACCTTGTACCGATTGGCCGAGCTGCGGTATGTGCCCTGAGCCGCCGTTCCCTCGCGCGACGCTGCTCGGCCGTGCTCTCGCCAGCCGGTGCCAGCTCATCGAGGTCATCGGCCGGGTGCTCGTCTCCGTGGTGGGCGTTGCCGTTCGCACGCTCGTTCAGCTGGGATGTGGCTCGTTATCGTCGTCGTCTCGCATCCTACGTGGCCGTCGGGGTCGGGGTCGAGGTCGTGGCGCGGTGTGGACGTGGACGCGTCGGATGCACGCTGGCACCTGGCTGAGTTAACCTGCGTCGAGATTCGAGTATGAGGACGACGCGTCGACTGGACGAGGGTTGGAGATGTTGCGTTCGGACAAGGGAAGTGAGCCAGCATTCGCGGGAGAGGCGCTGGCAAGGTGTATGCGCAGAGAGACAGAGCGACAGCGTCAAGGACTCGTCAACGCGCCATGTAATATTTAATATTTCCGTTCGAGACAGTTCGAGACGCGCGCGCGCCCGGCCAGGGGTCCAGGCAAGATGCGGATTAGATCATTGATTATTACTAGTGGGCTTTGTGAAGCTTACTACACCGCGCGGGCCATTATTTGCGCAACCGCTCGTCGTCCGAACTGTACCGTTCAGCAACTCGGCCATCTCGGCGACGCGCCAGGCTGGGCGTCCCTACGCTCCCACCCATCCACTAAAGGATGGCCCTCGGAGCCAATCCGCTCGTGGATGGCATCGATTGATGCACCGCGTCGTCGCGGCGGCCAGCAACGGTGCGACCAGTCCGTCTTCATTACTAGTAGCGCTCGCCGTACCAATTCGTAAGTGCTATCCTTGCTTCGATCAAGCACCCCTACGGCCGCCTCTCCATCTCCCAAGGAGCAGATTACACGAGCTCCTTCTCCATCGCTGTGGTCGAGCCCATCGCCAGCCTTCGCTACCCCGTGCGTGCCTTCGAAGGCTTCGATGGAGAGGTCTGTCTCGCTCAAATCCAGTTCGTTCGGATGACGTCGTTCGTCCAAGTCGTGTTGCCGCGCATTTAGCCGCCTCGAGCGTTTGGATCGATCGAGCATGTGGTGCCATCGCTGGTCTCGGAAGCGACATTTTCATAAATATCTTTTTGGCCCGCCATTCTATCACGAGATCGCTCTCCTCGTGCGCTCCGTTTCGGCCACAGCGGAGAGACTCTTCGCGCTGACCCTTGGCGCTCGTCTCACACAGCGCTGCGGCTCGGCCCGAATCGCCATCCTCGATCTTCGTCGCCAACCTCTTCATGGAGCCATGTGGGTCGATCGAACTCGTTGTCGGCGATCCCGAGAGCCCGGGGACCGGGCGGTGGTTGCAGGCAACTCGAACCTTCCAGTCGGTTCCTTCCGTTCGCACGTCCCAGCATCGACGCTCTTCGACACAGGCTTCTATCCCCTCCAAACCCGCGAGCGACCGGCTCATCGACCTCCACAACTTCTTCGCTTCCCGTGGCCGACATAGCTACCAAGACAGCTTCTACGACCCGAGTCGAGCTCGCCGCTGCTTCGACGACGGCTACCCCCGCTCAAACCTACTCGATCATTAGCGTGACCCTGCGGCCGTAGCGGTTGTCTGACTTTACTATACAACCCTCTGCCCCATTCCGACGGCTGTGATTGCCATCGGATCGATGCTCGCGGCGTCGGAATCGCCGTCGCACAATGCATCGTCGACTACAAAATCTTGTTCCGGGGCGAGTGGCCCGATACGCCCGAGGGGCAGCAACAAACGCCATCAGCCTACGAGATGTCACACAAAATGCGCTTGGAGGATTCGCGAAGTGCTCAAGAAGAACGGTGGCATCTACATCAAAGTCGGTTAACCCAGTCGATTCATCTCGATTTGTCTCGTTGCTCTGCTGATTTTGTACCACGCCGAGTCCTGTGCAGCTTGGGCAACATCTGTCGTCGTCCAGCTGATTCCACTACCGTGGTCTCAAGCAATGATCCCTCTTCAAGACCAGTGCAAAGCGACACCCGGCTCGCCGAATTGCAACAGCTCTTCCTCGACGATGCAGGCGCTCCCTCTCCGACCTTCTTCTCCTCGTTCGATCCAAACCCCATCGGGGTCGCTAGCCTGGCCCAGGTCCATCGCGCCCATCCTCCGTGATACGGGTGAACAGATCGCTGTCAAGTTATGCATCCCGATCTCGAGTAAGTTCAATGCACGCAATCTTGATTGATAGCTTTCTGCCGAGCTCATTCCAATGATGTGGTCCCCCGAAATCAATCAGAGAATTTTCCCAAATTGACATGAAAACCACGACTTTGATGCTCCGGGTCGTCAAGAGCATGTTTCCTTCGTTCGAATTCACCTGGCTGGGCGAAGAGATGGAAGAAAACTTGCCGCTGGAGATGGACTTCAGTGAGGCACTCCGCCCATTGGATTCGCAGCAGAGGTGGTGCAACTGGCTGACGCTGGTCGTTTGAACTTTATCCAGGGCACGAAGCTGCGAACGCGTCGAGGTGCCAAGCCGATTTTTCGGACTTGAAAACGACAAGCCTAGTCATTCCAAGGGTCATCTGGGCGAAGAAGAGGGTCATGGTGATGCAGTTCATCGAGGGTGCTCGAATCGACGATCTTGCGTACCTCGAGGCGCATCAAATCGACCGGAATGAGGTGTCGAAGGAACTCTCAAGGATATTCTCAAGAATGATCTATATAATCGGGTACGCCTATTCTATCGCATGTCGCTCATCTTCTCTTCCAAGTTATTTTGGGATGCTGCTAACCATCATCCAGGTTCTGCTTACCGTTCAAAGGTTCTTCCACGCCGATCCTCACGGCGGCAACTTGCTGATCCGCCCTGCCCAGCCTGGGAGTCGGTCGCGCAGTAATTTTGAAATCGTGCTTCTCGATCACGGTACGACGGCTTGCTCCATGACCTCTTACCAGATGATCTGCATATGTCTTACGCCGACCTTTTCTGCCTCCACAGGTCTTTACTTTGAAATGGACTCCCCGCTCCGCGTGGCTTACGCGCGGCTATGGCTCGCGCTCATCTCCCCATCCTCCCCGAAAGTCGAGGCCGACCGACGGAAATATGCCTACTTGGCCGGCAACATCGACGACGAACTTTACCCCATTTTCCAAGCCGCAATCACGGGGCGAGCCGCACTGGATGACCCTTACGCGGTCCGAGGGGACGAAGGAGGCAAGAAGGGTTCGGTGATGGAGTTAGGAGAGCAGCACGCTGGATGAGCAAAAGAGGATGAGGCACACCATTGCCGAGACAGAGGGCTTGATGACGAGCATTTTTGACCTGCTGAGGTGAGCTTGGATGCCTTCACCTCCAAGAGTTTCGAGACTTATTGAACCCATCGGGATGGTGTTGCAGGCGAGTGCGCGGAGGATTTTAATGGTACTCAAGGTCAATGACCTGGCTCGGTAAGTCGTGTCCGAGCTGTTCTTGCTTCTGGCTCACTTGTTCCTCGGGTCTGATCGACATTTTCTCTTCCACTGGTGAATCCAGGGCACTGGATAC